TGGAAATGACTTAGGCTGTGTTCATACTTTGCGGCAGCGTCCACCAGCGACCACCAGCGTTCCGAGCGTCCGGCAGCGCCAGCGTCTAGGAAAATATAGGTATCGATCTAGCGCTGTCAGCGCCTACTAGCGTCTACCAGCCTTCACCACCGACCGGGAGTAGAGTATGGGGAAGTAGGAGGGTAGCAAACAGCTGGATTAGGCGTCGTGAAATTGCGGCGTGTGCAACCGTACCGTACACTACACTACACCGTACATTAAATTGCATAATTCTGTGCTTTAGCAGTTGTGCGGTGCGGTTGCACACGCCGCAATTTCACAACGCCTAATCCAGCTGTTTGCTACCCTCCCACTTCCCCATACTATCCACTGGCTGAGGCTACGGTACCTATACTACTCCAGCCCTCTAGAGGCTAGCAGACGCCGGTGGACGAAAGCAGACGCTGGAAGACGCTGGTACGCTAGCAAGCACTAGATCGATATCTATAATTTTCTATCGCTGACACTACCGGGTGCTCGGAACGCTAGTGGTCGCTAGTGGATGCTAGTGGACGCTGCCGCAAGGTATGAACGCGCCTTGAAGGCAGCCACCACGCTCAAACAAATTCTTTCAGATCCACTTTCGGCAACAGAAACCATGCAGCTATACTATGACCGAGTTGCAGAAGGTGATCGTTATGTGGATCTGGAGAAACCAATCGAGGACGGAGGATTCATTTCGAAACGAATTTTCAACGCGCCACCAATAACGAACATTGAAAATCCAAAGCGACCTGGACCAATCAAAGAGTGTTGGTTTACTTCACTTCAATTAGATGTCCCAATGGGCCATGCTTTAGACTGGCACTGGAGCGATCTAGCTAAAAGTGCCCTGTCCGTCCATTTCAATCATTGGCAGTGTCACCTGGTTTCATTTGGACTCCACGTCGGCCTTTCTTTCCCTCCACTAGTAAACAAATATAGTTTGTAACACTTGCAATTTGTCGGGGGCGGCGAGCGCAGCGCGGCACGAGCTCGCGTCCGGCTGCCTTGCTCTACCAATGGTGATCGAGCAATGATCGATGTAGGAAGGAATCAGCCACTGGTGGGAAGGCCGCAGGTGGGAACCGCTGATTGCGACCCGACAGGTCGCGGTGATATAAATGGTAAACAAGAAAAAACAATTTAGACCTGTCTACACCCACAAAGCTACTGGTAGGGCTTAGGACAACGCGTTCGAGTCCTATCGCTGTGATGGGGCGTGTCAGGGGATGGGTTGCAGACGGCTTCAGCCTGTTTTTTCTTCTTTTTTTCAACAAGCGACATGACTGTGTCGTATCCTTGTACCAGTCGTTTTCCACCCACTCGCTCCGACAACTGGTGGAGAACGAGCTGGCAGCGCTCCGTACCCAGGCTCACTGAAACGTCCCTTCATTCGCAGCGAACGACAGGTAATCCCTACCCTGTTTTCAAACGATGGGAAAATTAAAGCACTCATGAACAAAAAGGAGGGACTCCGATCTGCTGCCTTGCAAGCTTTTTCCTTCTTTCATTTTTTTGTCATTAGAAAAAATGCTATGAATCTCGTGGCCGACTACCTCATTAGTAATGTATGCCGGGATCGAAACGGGCGGCTCGTGCAGGAGCGTCTCTGATCGGTTGCTGCAGTCAATGCACCAACCCCGAGCACTCATTGCAGACACCTAGCTAAACAGATCAATGAGATAAAATGTGTTTCAGATCGGAAACGATGGGTGGTGCTGGTTTTCAAGACGACGGATCCTCTGACTCGACTCTATGTTTTCTCCACAAGTGATCTTCACGCCAAATATAGGACTGTGACTGAATTTTTGAAATCAGACACTGGTCGTCGACTAGGAACACCAGTGGCTGGCACATTCTTCTTTGTGAGTTTTATCGATTCTCCAAAGTTTTTGGGTTCGCGCTGTTGTACAATAAGAATCCACTGCTTCTCGTACCAAGTGTTGCTTGGGCTGCATTCATACTTTGCTGCAGCGCGCTCCAGCTTTTACCGGCGGCCATTAGCGTTTCGAGAGTCCGGTAGTGTCAACGACTGGGAACGTATGGATATCGATCTAGCGTCTGCCAGCGTCTACCAGTGTCCGGGAGAGCAGAGCATGGCGCGATGGCGGGGTACAGACAGTTGGTAATCTCCTGTCGTGCCATACTTTCTACCAGCAGCCTCCCAGGCCCTGGCCGTCGGGACGCTGGCGGACGCTGTAGACGCGGGCGAACATTGGAAGACGCTGGTGCACACTGCAGACGCTGACAGACGCTAGTTCAATGTCTATATTTTCACAGTCGCTGTGAGTGCTGTACGCTCGAAACGCTACTGGACGCTTGTAGACGTTGGTAGACGCTGCCGCAAAGGGTAAACGCAGTCTTACATTTCTGAGCTCGGGGCACTTCTGAATTGTGGGTCTGAGAAAGGAAGAAACCATCACACTGACATCACTATCGCCGCTGCTACAAAAGGAGGACGCACCAATGAGGACGGCGCGCCAGTTGAATGTCTCCGCCCATGAAATCATCACGTAGCGTGCCGTCGAATTGTTGTTTGAAGTAAATTTTTTTAGCTGACTGCTGATTGAGCGATTGGTCAAGGAAGGAAAAGGTTGGAGACGAAATGCAGAGGACCTCTAGAATGATACCTCTAAGTTGATTATTTATTATGTACGTGTTTCTCTATGAATGAGATATCAAAGTTAATGAAGTTTACTTGCAATGAATCTGTAGCTTATCGTTAGAGTAATTACAATAATAGAAGCGCGGTAAGCGCTATTTAGTCATTTCTACCCGTTCTCCTTAAAGGCACGTTCCGCGATAAACTAAGGCTAGGTTCTCATAACCGTGCACGACGGTCAAGCAGGCAACGTCAGAGGCTATGCTGCTTTTAAAAGTTGAAAAACAGCAAGCAAAACGCAGGGCGCTCAGGTTTTAGGCCCATTGGCGCCCGATAGGCCCATGCCGGCCTCCAGTGACCGTGTCGTTGTGAGACTGCCATTGCGCTCTCTCGCCCGTCGTTTTCTGGCCTCTCTCTCTCTTATCAGTGTATCGCCGCCTTTCGCAATTCACAATTGATCTTGACCACCTTACGCTCGTCCGGTGATCATGATCAATTGCAATAAAGAGTATTCCGGGCGCTTTTTCGTGGTTCCTTCTCTTCAATAAGTCAACAATCACAGGGCAATTCTATTTTTGAACTGTATTACCTATGAAGTGTGGTCGCGGGAATTGCCTTTAATGCGGTCAATGAGGCGTGTGGTTGGATTTCAGGCAGGGAATAGGGATTCCGAGCAGTTCATTGACAAATTCTTACCTTCAAGCAAAATAACACAATATAAAACAAATAGCTCCCGAGGTTCTGGCCCGATAGAATCTGAGAGAACCCTCTCAGGGCCTTCAGCAAGACGTTTGCCTACAATTTCTATGTCTGTTGCCGTCCTCGACTTGAGCTAATTGCCTTCTTTGACCATGAAGTTATAGAAAATAAAAAATTTTTGATTTGCTACGTCCCGCTTAGAAACCACGAGATTTTGGTGTTCACACCTGTGTGTGTTGGTCATTAATTCGCTCGAACGGGCGCAACTGCCGTTTGTCCCTGAAAATTGCAAGAGTCGCGCAACAGGTTCGCTCGGACACACATTTCTCGTAAAATATTGCGCTAAAATGGCCACGAAATCTGTCAGGCTTGAAAGACGGATTTCGAGTTGCTTATTAAACCCTTAAGCATACGGTACGATAGCTTGGTACTTGGTCTAAAATTGTAGCAGAGGTACTATGAAGTGACAAAATGGCCAAAAAGCGAAGTGAAGGGTCACCTTGCAAAAAATGTTCTGCACGACTCAGAAACCAATTTCGGACGAGTTTCCCGTCGGCGCAGTGCCAATGAGCCGCTACGGTAGATGCAGCTGCATGTATGTACTCATATATCCATGCAGCACCGCAGCTTTTTCATATCAATCCTTCGCTTCATTTGTGCTTTGCAAATGAAGTGGTACGAGTATCACCATCGGTCGGATATTTGTGGGCGGGCGGGCGCGATGGGCGGTACATTGCCCCCTTGATAGGGGGCTCGAGGGGTACCCTCTTTGAGGAAGGCGCCATGCAACACCTGCTTGGGGGTACTGAATTCCTTCCTGCCAGGCTTATTAATCTTACACGTCTTAGGTGTTTATTGCGCCACCACCCTTTAAGCACTTGCAGTGTGGCGAGAATCGACTTTCGCCCAAGTCTCCCGCTTTCCAACCCCTGGAATCAGTCAAAAGATACCAAATCTAGCTGTCCTAGGAAAGAATGCCGACTTGAACATCGGCTCCACAGATCATTGTGTCGCGCGTATTGTAACCAGAAACTCAAGACGAATTTTAATTAAAGCAAACTGCATGGCGTATCCAAAGATGAATTGCTCATCGCCAAATGATTTATCCCTTGCCCTTTCGGTAAACCCTAACTCACGGCTATTACTGGTTGGCTATAGCAACTACGATTATACCCTCGTGGGCTACATCGAGTGCACTCAACAGGAACCAGCCAATGGTTTTTGGAAACAAGGGGGAGACTTGAATACGCTTGGGATGTCGTGCACACTCCACTTCACTGGAGAGCACTTACGTCATATTAAAGACATCCAATTTAGTTCCTGGCAGACCTCACGTCCCAATCGTAGCGTTTTTGCACCGTGGGAACATGAGAAGCTATCTTCAGAACAGGATCAAACATGGCAGTACGGTAGCCCACTTTAGCTGGTTCTATACCTTCACATCTTAGGTTAGCATGGAAACTGGATGGTGATTGATGAGTACTATACTATGCAATTTCATTCATGATAAGCACGCCAAGAGTGCATAGAGGAGGGTTGAAGGGAATGAGCACTACATACTGCATTTGACCACCTGAATATGGTACCTTCCATTTAATTTATTTAGGCTGAAGGTAGCAGTAAGTAAATGTATCGCGTCAGCACTATTGTTATCGGTTTGAGCCGCTCTTCAGTCAGAGGGTCTGATATATCGACCGTCGAGCGATTTTCATGCTTTTTTTGGTCTCTCTTTTTTCTGTTTCTATTTTTCTATTTCTTCACTTCCTGTCGCAGAAAGGATCATGTGGTGACGGCCAACTGCGGCGGTTTGTTGCTGGCTAATTGTATGGAAAATGGTAAGGAAGGAAGCTGAAAGCAAAAGTAAAAAGAGGGGAGTAAAGAGCAGTAAAGGGTCAATAGGGCAATCTCTGCGTGATGTGGTACATACTGGGCTTTTAGCTTCATTACCGCAAAGCTTATTTCCACAAGGGATAACTGCATAGTACGCGCGTCTCTCAAGTACGGAGTGGGGACATCTAGCGTCCTACCAGGGCAGGGTATTTTATGGACCACATTTTTATGATAGCGGGTAATAAAAAGGTAAATTATAGGGAATGGAAAGGTCGCTTACCTCCTGCGCGATCGAATCCCGAATCGGCTCCCGTCCAGGCCAAAAATGTCTTCTACCCTCAGAAAACGACAAATTGAGATCAGATTTCGTTGGGAGGATAAAAACATTAAGTTGTACATGAGCAGGCCACCGCATGCTCTCATATGGTCCACATAGCTTTCAAGAAACCATTACGTTTCTGAATTAAAGCATAGTGCATGTCGTATCCCAAAAGATTAATCAACTCCCCCTTACGGATATATCAACGAACAGTTGAAGAAGGTTCACTTCGGTCCCACCAAATCGGAGGCTGCACCCTTGAGAAGGTATCTTTCAAGCTCTTCAATTAATCGGGCAGATTTGCAGTTGATATCATCGCAGTCAGTCGGGGAGGCTTCAAGTGCAATGGTATGAGCTCAACCGCGGCCTTTCCACCATTGGTCGCTTTTTACTAAATCCATCACTAACCAATCACCATTGGTAAGAAAGGCAACGAAAGTCCTTGCTCGTTCCGCCTCCCTTGGTACCGCCACGACTGATTGGGCGTTATCGACTACATTTAGATGAGATACACATAGCGCCCGCCTCTGCTCGGAGCTCAGCCAGTGAATAAAATTGAACTGCTAGACAGATACTACTATAAGTTCTCGTAAAAGTTAACATCGGTATTACTCTGTAAGTAATGTGAAAGTTTATGGAATGTTTTCGTCATTCCTCGCCGAAATAACCAGAAACCGTAAAAACAGCTTATCGTTATCCCCTCCTTGTAGGTCACTCGTACAGTCTAATTCGGTCAACGTTTACGAACATGTGTTCCGTGTTCTATACTGGGGTTTCTCTTCCACGCTAAAGAAGTTCTCAATTAGGCCTGATCCACTCAAATCCCCTTGAGGAGACGACTACGACGATGAAACGTCAGCCTTATAATGCTATTATGAGAGTTGAGCTGAACAAAAAGTTTCGTAGAGAGATCTCGTTCAAGGGAAGCTGCCATTGACTGGTTTCCGTATGGAGGCTCCACATGGGATGTACTTGTTTCTGCACAGTCAGCTACCACAATAACCAGGGAATTGCTCTATGAAAGGCGAGCGTCAACTAGATATGCTTTCATTGGGAGAGTCCAGAGGCATTTTCTCATGACATCTACAAGCTAAGCAGTTGAAGGGAGAACGCAAAGGAGCAGGGAAGATGGAAGGAAGGGAAAACGGGAGGAGGAAGAAAAAGGAAGGAGGAGGGAGGTTCGCGGTTGACAAGTATCCTGAGACGTTGGTTTACTATCTGACATTTCCCTTTTACTCCGACAATGTCAGTTCGAGTATGGCTCGGGTTAAGACCGTCGATGACTGCAACGGTTCCAGTGGTCTCAAGTGATTTCGTCTGATCGCAGCGAGGGTGTTCGATTCGCGCATTCGAACCCGTTCGAGGATTGAGGTTGACCATCTGTGTGTGTATTTGTGTCGGGATAATGTTCGTTTTCTGTGACTGGCCCGATTTACCGCTCCTGGGTGCGACCCTTCTGCTCCCCCCTCAGTCCGCTGTCCACCCCGTACATCCTCATGTCTTTGTTCCCTCTCAATTACGCATCCACTCTACGAGGCCATCTGGCACATGGCTGTCCATTGCGCAATTGACCACTATATCGGTTTTGCCCTCGTCGTTCATTGAGTCCTTCAGTGAAAATGTTGTCCTTAGCATGACCTTTCTGCATGTTGCGTATGCTGTGTAGGTGTGTCTATTGAAGCGTTTGCAGGACTCATTCCTTGATGGGCTCTTCCTTCTGCTCCACTGCTTCATTCTACGATTTTACTCTTCTGTCCAGTTATTTTACTTTATAAAACCAAGAAATCATATTGAAATGAGTGAACATTAATGGAAGATTCTTGACGAATTGAAGCGTATGGTGATGGGATGAAACATAATTAAGGTTTCACTATGGAATGAGTCGCCATTTCGCAATCTCTCATTTTACTCACATTCAGCTTTACTGGTTCTGGTCTTCATGTCCGTCCGATTCTGCGCATCGAATTATTCCAGGCATTCTCATGGTCGTACGCTCTACATATAGTAGTACGGGATTTTTTATGAGATATCAAATAAATAAATCAAAACTTCGTGCATCAAAAACTCTGTAGTTTCCCCACGAGGATTTATTATTTAGGACATCTTATCCCAGGTTTATC